CAATCAATAAGAAAGACCATAGAAGAATTGATGCATTTCAGTTTTGCTGTTGGAGAAGAATATTAAAAGTATCATAGACTACCAGAAAAACAAACAAATATGTGTTGGAAGAAGAACATCCAGAATGCTCCTTAGGAACCAGGATGTCGAGACTTCATCTCTCATACTTCAGATATGTTCTCAGGAGTGATCAGTCCCTAGAGAAGAATATCATGCTTAGTGAGGTGGAGGGTCAGTGATAAAGAGGTAAAGACCAAACTAGATGGATTGGTATAGTGGCAGAAGCAATGGGCTCAAACACAGCAATGATTGTCAGGATGCTGCAGGACTGGGCCGTGTTTATTCTGTTGTGCATATTATCGCTATGAGTTGACACTGACTTAATAGCATCGCTATGAGTCGGAACCGTCTTGACGGCACTTAACAACAACAACAACAACAACAACAGCAACAAGAACAACAATATAAGACTGTATGGAGAAAACTTGCAGGATGAAATCCAGAAAGGGTTGGGAGAAGGAAGCCATTATAAAGGTCAGAATTCTGCAAAAGAACCTAGTCCAAAGTTGAACTGCTTCCTTGAAATACCTTTCCCATTCCAAATATTGTGATGTTTTCATCCATCCTCTATTCAAACACTGTTAAAATTGAAAACTTAAACTACTACTGAGAAATACAGTCACCAACCCTTGCTGTTATTTTTACAGTAGCTAATGGGGTTAGTAGGTCCATGGGAGGTGCAAATGGTTTGCACTTGGCTACTAACTGAAAGGCTGGTACTTCGAACTCAACCTGCAGCACTGTGGAAGAAATGCCTGGCAATCTGCTTCTGCAAAGATTATAGCCAAGAGGCCCCAAGGGAGCTCAGTTTTACTCCGTAACACATCGGCTCACCACAACCAGAAGTTACTGGACAGCAATGGATTTGTTTTGTGTTTTAATAGTTTCACTAGATAAAAACATCAGTTCTTCAATTTTCATAGTATTTTTCAAATTTCCACTTTTGATTTGACTTCATTGGGTCACAAGTAGCTGTCTTCAGGATCTTCTGAGCAACATTCCCTTCTAAGCATAACAGCTGATGATTGTTTTCAAAAGCAATGTGATTCACCTGGAGAGAAAGGGAATCAGGGAATGAGTCACAACTGAATTTTACAACTGAGTTTTAAAGAAATGAAAACCCATAAAAAATAACAGATAATATTTTTTTAATCCTTAAGAATTCTTCTAAAGTAAATAAACAATAAAACACCAACTTGGGAAAGCACTAAGCTTGCCTGAGTCTTAAACTAAGTTTTCATACTTCTCTTTGCTGCAAGGATTTTAAATTCTTTGGAAATAAAAAGATGAATTTTGACAATGTGGATGAAAGTAATATTGTTTAAAAAAATCATTCTAGATCACATTTACTAGATTTAATAAATGATTGCTATTTCACTGGTAGTGGTAAAAAACAAACAAATAAGAAACCACATATATCAACATAAAAAGTGAATGAGTTAAATTCTTAATTAAAAAACAAATGTGGATAACAAAATTCTAGAGATAAGGCATTTTATTTATGAATTAGAAAACAGTGAAAGGCATTTCTGGAGTTCTTTTTTTTTTTTTTAATATTTCTTGAATATTCTAGAGATTGTAGATAACCTACTGACCATTGCTCATGGCTTCATAATATTTCCACCTATTATCACTTCAATTATCCATGACTTCTTGAAAGATAATCTGAATTATACATGTATTAAATATATATTTGATAAAGATAAAGAATAGATCTCCTGTAAAAACATTGTTGCCCTCATAGAACTTTGGAAATATGATGCTAGAATATGCTCAAGATTTTGTACAAAAGAGTTGACCTTGAGCACAAGCATTCTGCATTATCTAGAATGTTTTACAAGCAGATTGCAAAGAGGTAACTGAATGATTTGTCTCTACCACTGATGTGGAAACCATAGGTAAAAATAAATGAATGTAGTATATTCCATATCCAAAGTCTTGATGGCCACCCCTGAGACTATTTTCTTGGAGGTGGCCATATTCCAGGCAGAAGACCACAAGAGAGCTGACCTGGAGCGTGCATTTTAAACTCAAATTGAGAAGTGTACAATTTCAATAACTCATTGGTAACCATGGTCAAATTCAGTATTACCATTCTCCTTCTATGAAGCTCCCAACTCCTAATGCTTTCTAAATGAAGAAACATGTTGATATTATCCATAGTATTAATTTCAATTTCTTTTATTCTTTAAGATTACATATGTTGGGGAATTTAGGATGCTTAGTATAAACGGTACTGCAATAATGAAGAAAAACAGAAAGTCAACTGTCAAGAAAATGTCATCCACATGACACTTAGTAGCATCCAAAGGCAGAAGGTCAAATATGAAGGCAGAAGGCAGCTATATAAGATATCACAGTCATAGGCACAAACAAGGCAGGGTGATACTTTCTAGTTTCCACTACCTTAATTAAATTTTCTTCTTTACCAAATAAACTTAATATCTTGGGGTATCAAAGTTGGACCTACAACGGGGTTTCAAAAGCTCGTGGAAACAATTTTATTATCTTTTAATTCCATTTTTCATGAACTCGTATATAAAACTATAGCTAATTAAGGCTTGAGTTCTAAATGAGACCAAGTCATTTTGTAAATATGCTCTATAGAGCTTAAGGGCTACCTGCTCTCCAAAATTTTCATTACCAACCTGAAATCCTCTCTAATAACTAATTCACTTCTGGAGGTAAGATAAATGTTATTTTTGCTTTCTCTCATTTTTTTTGGCACAGGAGTAAGGAGAAGGTAAAATATGATTTATTCAGTGTATATGAATATTAAGGTGTCCTGGTGGTACTATAGGATAAACACTGGACTGCTAACCACAAGGTCAACAATTCAAACCGACCAGTGACTGAGGAATACACATGAGGCTTTCTGCTCCAGTTAAGATTTACAGCCTCTGAAACTCCACGCAGGGTCACTATGAGTCAAAATCAACTCAGTGTCAGTGAGATTTTTTTTTTTTAATGAGTATTTACACATCTCTCCAGAAGTATGCAAAATAAAGATAATAGCTTATGTAGTAGTCATTCCTAGTTAAAAAAGATAAAAATTTCTGATGGAACTGAAATAGAACAGGGTCTTCCTATAGATTTTGACTCTCAGCAGGCAAAAAAAAAAAAAATCATAAGGAAAATCGTAACAGTCTCTGGCATCAAAAGGAGAGGAGGCATCCCAAGTTAAAAAGGGACTTTACTTTGGAGCCAGTCTTGGGGGAAATGATGATTTCTACATACTCAAACGCATTCAGTGAATTTAGTGGCTAGTTGAGAGTAAGATATTAGAAAATGTAAGAAGCCAAACTTGAAATGATTCTCAAATATCCTACACCAAAGTTTATTACTTTGTAACCTGTGAAAATATGATTGGGAAAGACAAAGAGGATGTTGAGAATGAATAGGGTAGCAGGGGTGTTCTGATAAATATTACCAAATGGATCTCTGGAGAAACATGTCCTGATTTGTAGTACCTATCAATTTTGTGTTGTAAATACTCCCACCATTGCTGATTGCAAGTTGTTAAGCTGACATCACTGAAGGCAAAGTTGAGGAAGAGGTGTACTGTCAGTTCCTGACAGTTTGTGCAAGTAAGCTTCAGTGAGACCCACTAAGAGCCCAGGTCTCCAGCAACCAGACATGAGAAGGAAGTCTCCTGATACAGAAAAAGGTCAGAATGAGGGTCCAGAGTCACAGTTCGATACAGGGCTTATAGAAAGCATGCTGTTTTCCCCATTATGCTTTCCCTATAAGCTTTTCTGGTACATAATGAGCTACAATTCTAGCAATATGCTTTACTTTTTGCATTGTTCGTTGACTAAAGCAAAGAACATTTTGAAACAAAGAAGATAACAATATAACCTAAAGAACCTGGTGACATCCATTTAAAATAACTGGTTTGAAAGAAAGGACTTGACAAAACTCTCTATTCACATCCGTGTGAACTTTTACACTGTGCTATTGTAACAAACACATTTAAAGCTTCTGATTGAAGAAGCTGACAATGAGCATTTTATGTCTTATTTGACTGAAAGTTGAATTTGTGGTTAAAAAAAAAGGCACAAATATTTAGCTTACCAGTTCTGGATGAAAGATGGATGTGGATTTATGCAGCCATTTTAGCCCTTTGTTTCTGTTATCACAAGGGTGCAGCGTGAGGCCTCCCTTGTCAGGAATAAGGGCTAAACACCATTCTCCATGCTTAATAAGTCTTAACCAGGTATAATTAAGTTGTTGAAACTGTGGGTCGAATGAATAACAAGATGGGTCACTTCAGGCAGCAAACATAGAGAGGAGTTTTGTCAGTTTCTTTACCAATTGCTTAGATGTTTTGTATTCAAAGCCTGTGATCAGGTGTTTTGTATTCAAACATTGGCCTGCCACTTTCTGTTGTTGCTGTTGTTGTTGCTGAGTGTCCATAGAATGGCTATGACTCAGCAATGCTGTATGAGGTTTCCAGGAAGGGCAGGTGGGTTTGAACCACCAACTTTGCAATTAGCAGTCCAGTGCCACACCAGGACTTCTACTTTCTGATGTTGTTTTTAAGTGCTGTTGAGTAGGTTCTGACTGATAGGGACTCTGTATACGGTTTCTAAGGAGCAGCTAGTGAGTTTGAACTGTCAACCATGTGGTTCCCAGTCCTAAAGTGCCACACATACTTTCTGATACTACAGGCAAATTATTTAAATTATCTAAGCTCATTTTTCTCATCTTTAAGTTGAATAGCAATAATGTCTATTTCTGAGTTAATTATAATAATTTCACACAATCACTTTATATAAAAATGGATATTATTTCAAGTGTTCTGAATCCCAGACAACCCAGGTACTTGTTCTGAATCCCAGACAACCCAGAACACTTTCAAGTGTTCTGAATCCCAGACAACCCAGGTGGTTAGAAGTGGAATGTTCTAACCACCACATGGTTAGAGCCTGGACCATCAGGTCTACAAGTCATATTTTCCTTATAAAAATTATTATGTTCTTTGCTTAACCATCCTGAATTCCTGGTGTGGCACTGTAGGATAAACACTGGAACTCCTTGGAAACCCTATACAGGGTCGTGCTGTGAGTTGAAACTGACTTGATGGCACTTCACAATAAGAAAATCTTCGATTCTAGAGGATTATTCTATTGTAGGAAAGATATGTCTTTGCTGATAGCATGTTGTATTGTTGTTGTTGTTAGGTGCCATCGGCTCAGCAACAACTCATAGCAACTTTATGCACAGCAGAATGAAACAGTGCCGGATCCTGGGCCAACCTCACTATTGTTGCCATGCTTGAGTCCATCGATGCTGCCACTTGGCCAATCCATCTCGTTGGGAGTCTTCCTCTTTTTCTCTGGCCTTCCACCCTACTAAACATGAGATCCTTCTCCAGTGACTGGTCCCTTCTGACATGTTTGAAGTATGAGAGATGAAGTTTGGCCATCTTGGCCTCCAAGGAGCGCTCTGGCTGCACTTCTTCCAACACGGTTCTGTTTGTTCTTTTGGCAGCCCATGGCATTTTCAATAATCTCCTCCAACACCATAACTCAAATGTGTCAATTCTTCTATGGTCTTCCTTATTCATTGTCCAGCTTTTGTATGAATATGAAGTTATTGAAAATATCATGGCTTGGGTCAGGCACACCTTAATCCTCAGGCTGACATCTTTGCTCTTCAACACTTTAAAAAGGTCTTGTGCAGCAGATTTGTCTAATTCAATACGTAGTTTGATTTCTTGACTGCTTCTTCCTTGAGTGTTGATAGTTGATCCAAGAAGAATGAAGTCCTTGACAACTTCAATCTTTTCTCCATTGATAAGAATGTTGTTTATTGGTCCAGTGGTGAGGATATTTGTTTTCTTTACATTGAGATGCAATCCATACCGAAGGCTATGCTCTTTGATCTTTATCAGTAAATGTTTTAAGTCCTCTTCACTTTCAGCAAGCAAGGTTGTATCATCTGCATATCGCAGGTTGTTAATGAGTCTTCCTCCAATCCTGATGCCACATTTTTCTTCATATAACCCAGCTTCTTGGATTATTTGCTCAGCATAGAGGTTGAATAAGTATTGTGAAAGAATATAACCCTATCACACACCTTTCTTCATTTTAAAGCATTCAGTGTTCCCATACTGTGTTTGAACAACTGCCTCTTGGTCCATGTACAGATTCCTCATGAGTACAATTGTGTGTTCTGGAATACTCATACTTTGCAATGTTGACCATAGCTTGTCATGATCCACACAGTCAAAAGCCTTTGTGTAGTCAATAAAACACAGGTAAACATCTTTCTGATATTCTCTGCTTTCATCCAAGATTCATTGGACATCAGCAATGATATCCCTTGTTCCATGACCTCTTCTGAAACTGGCTTGAACCTCTGGAAGTTCTCTGTCAATGTATGCTTGCAACCATTTCTGTATTACCTTTAGTAAAACTTTACTTGCATGGGATATCAATTTGCCCCATGCTAGCATCCCATATATTAGAGGAATTTCTCAGGTTAGGCTTTTAGTGTGTCCAATTTGGGGATTTGTCAATATCTATAATAAATGCTAATTCAAGTCAGGGAATTGTGTTTTCATTACTTATAAGTATTTTATACAGTTTCTTACAACCTAGTATTATCTGTCCAATTTACTCTAAGGTTGTGGGTCTGAGGAAAATTTACTGTTTTGCACAGTAATATGGACCTATTAGAAAAAATAAGGAGACTGCTGGTAAATTCTAAATAAATGCTTTATCTAATGAGTCATGTGTAATGTATTTGAGACATGATGAATTGTTTATAATATAATTGAGGTTTAATTTCAATTATCAGGCATGTTCTTTCTCTTTGAGCATCAACATCATCTGCTAGCTAGTTAGAACTGTAGAATCTCAGGTCCCACCATGGGTCTGCTGAGTAGATTCGGTAAGAAATTTTCCAGATGATCTGAGTGGACATTAAAATGTGAGAAGCAATATGAGGAGCACAAATGACTACTAAGAGAAGCTAGATATTACCTTTTAAGGGACATCAACTGTTTTTTTATTGCTGTTATTGTTGTGCTATTGAGTTGGTTCTAAGGAGTGACTGGTGGTGTTAAACCACTGACTTTACTGTTCAAACCGACTTTTCTATTCAGTGCTTATCCTACAGCACACCACACCAGGACTCTACTAACAAGAAATTTTAGGTGGGTTGAGAGGTGAGATTAAAGGTTTGATCCTAGAGTTTTTACTTCTTTTGAGCTTTTTTGGATAAATGCTACAGTCACTGGCTTGGTATTGTTGTTGTTGTTCAGTGCCATTGAGTTGATTTCGACCCGTTGCAACCCTGTATTGGGTTTCCATGGAGCATCTGGTTAAGCTTGAACCACAGACCTTGCAAGTCAAACGACTTTGCCGTCTGACACATTAACCCACAGCACCACACCAGGCCTCCATTTAAACCTCATCAATTCAGCTGAAAATAAGATAGTATCTTTCATGGGTTTTTTACTGTTTATTAGTAATATAAACCACAAGAGGCAGATGCTAAAAATGAGCAACAAGACCGAAAAGGGATGTGGGGTTGTTGGAAGACAGAGGCTGCATGATTCATAGTTTTGAATAGTAGCATCCCCATGGGAGACTCAGAGATTATGGAGAATGGAACTGGGGTTTTCAGACGAAATTCTGGTTTAACAGGCACAAAAAGTCATTGTAATGATTTGAGTATTGAAGGATTACATTACTTCTTTTCTTTCATATGTTTTGATAAATTGTGGTTTTGTTCTACAATTTATTACTTTTTATCACCTCTAAATTATTACTAAGCGATACGTTATTTCTTTTGATTGACTTTTCGTACTTTTCCTTTTGCCTGTATCCTCCTGTTGAATTAAAATACACTTCCTTTGACCTCAAATTTACATCATGACTGGACTACAGCGGCAGAGATGACAAAAATGATTGTTTTTCTAGGTCTTGTTGTTACTTGAAGTTAAATTGACTGCAATGCACAGTGGACTCATAAGTGCAGAGTGGAACCACTCTGTGGGGTTTCCAAGACTGTGACACTTTGGAAGCACAGTGACTGGCCTGTCTTCAAGGCACCCCTAGATGGATTCAAACTACTAACCATTGGGCTTAGTCACAAACTTAACTATTCGAGCCAAAACTAAGAGGTTGAGATGGGACATACTAAATATACAAGCAATATAGTGAAGTTAAAGGCAAAGAAGTAAACTTTGGTAAGTCTAGATTATCATCACAAAGTAATTTCTCTACCAGAGAGTGAGTTGCAATTTTTCAGACTGATGCCACCATTTCTACTCACACTTTATTTGGCATCCAAACCAAATAACTGCCCCCACGGAATATAGAACTGTAGGGAACATATGTTGAGGTGGCAAGTGTGAAAACTCAGGATGTACCTCGAGCATCACAGAGTCCCTGCTGAGCTCTCTTTGATCCTACTCCCACCTGTAACCACTGGGATCTGAGTTTGTCAAAGTTTTGCTGTAAAGTTGTCTATCATTGATCATAGATTATGAGATTTCCATTATTCCCTCAAAATGCAGAAAAATGGAGGATCAGATAGATATCAGTTGTGGCTTAGATTGCTACCTAGGCTGATTATTTAAAAATTTGTTCATATTCTATGATACCTTGATATGTTATGTGCTATTTTTCATACTTTCATCTTTGTTATTATAACAGCAAATATTTATAGAGATCTAAGTGCCAGTTATTTTTCTTCATATATGTGTAAAGCATAATGGTGTTTCATATCTATTACTTAATTCTATCCTTGCAACAGTTCTAGAGGTACAAAGGGATTTCAAAAAGTCTGTGGAAAATTTCTATTATGTTTTAATTCCATTATTCTATGAACTTTTTGAAGCCCGTATGTATTCAATAGTACTACTTCCATTTATCTAAAGGTTAAGTCATTAGTGGAAGGCAGCATGGTTTTGCAAACCATGGAGTCAAGATAGACTCTTGGTAGACCAACTGATATCTCCAACCTTTACTCCATTGATCATTGTCTTTACATTTAATGGGTATCCTCTTATCACTAACCTTATGATAACATAGAAATTTAGAGGCTAATTATGGTTTCTACAGGGCAACAATTAATTTCTTGAGAGATGAATTACTTGGTACCCTATCCTGCATCTACCAACTCTCCTAGATGAAACAGACAACCCCAGGTTAGCATACCTTGCTGCTCGCATCACAGTCTTCCAGAATAACTGTGGTGTTTTCAATGGAAATGCATTTACCCAAGGCCACATTAATAAGCTAGGAAGCAAAACATAAAATATGAATTAAGAAAGAAATTAAAATAAAAATAGACATTCAGAAAACACAGAATATGAAACTATAATAAGGCTAAAAGATAGCTAAATTTAATAGCTTAAAGTTATTTAGCACTGTACGATTTTATTGGTTGCTAGCTTGAACACAGACATAATGTAATCCTGCTAAAGTACAGCTTCAATCTGTCAATTTAAGTCTGTGATTCAGCCATCAAGCTAACAAACAGAAGCTTTTAATTAACCCTTGACTGGAATGGTGAATGGGGAACTAGCAAAAGGTGACATGAAAAGTAGTTATTTTCCTGTCTCAAGTTCTTCTGATGCATATATTAGAAGTCAATGCACAGCCTTGCAATTTAATCAAGCCAATAGTTAGTTACCAGCTCTGTTCCCTGGCTGACCTCTTCAGCTATTTGACTGCCTAGGCACTGAATCATAGATACATTGAGTTCTTCAAAGAATAGCAGATTCTAGCTGATTCCCTGTCAGAGTCTTCCTAATGACTCAGGCAAGCTACAATTCATTACGGGAAAGTCATGAAAGCTAATACAGAGTCAGCCTTAAAGGCACTTTCTGGCAGGTCCCCAGCTTTTTAATGGATTTACAGGGTCAAATATGGTGGCAGGTTCCCATAGGTCACCATTTAATGCAGAAAAATGTTGATTCTCTTGCTCCATTTGACATCCTGGAGCAAGGCTAATGAGATGGTGGGTTAATAGTGCAATTTAAACTTCTCAGATTTCAAGAAGAGCTGTGTAGAGCTGTGTCTCTATTACATGTCTCATGAAGGCTTCTTGGGCTCCAAGGTGGTAAGGTCTTTGTTGCCAGGGACATGGTTTGTGCTCCTTCCTGCTCCTTGTGGAGCAGAGACTTAACAGAGTTCTGATTTCTGTGTGTTGAATTGACGTTGGTCTTGTAACTCACACAGTGCCAGAAAATCACAATAGGTTGATCAATGGGCTGGTTCTCGTTTTCAAATGCATATCTTAGCTTGAAGAAAATAACAGAATCTTCAGGGACTTGAGAATGCAGAAAAACTGTTTTAGAATGAAACTTGCAAATCTTGATAAACAAGAAGCTTGTGCTTGTGTGAAGACAGGAGGAAAAAGTGGGCGTGGATGAGGTAAAGAGTTGGAATTGAGATCTTCAACGTGAAGATGGAAAATTTGACCAGTAAGGTGCTCAGTGCAGTGACATAGTGTTTTTATTGATTGCTGGAGAGTCCATTTCAACTCACAGTGACCCCATGAATCTAGCCTAGAACTGCTACATAAGGTTTTCAAGTCTGTGACCTTTTCAAGCAGATCTCCAGACCTATCTTCTGAGGACCTCTGGTGGATTCAAAGCACCAACTTTTAATTTGTAGTGAACTGCTTACCCTTTTGTGTTACCCAGGAACTCTTAAATGACTCACCAGAAAAAAAAAACTAATTTACCCATTAACACAAGGGAGACAATAGAGAGGCTTGATTACATTGTTATGGACTCTGGGTTCCTAGAGAAAAAATCTCCCTGAGAGTAATTAAACCTGATGTGGTGCTGTAGGTAAACACAAGGTCACTTTGAATCCTGAGGTTTGTGGTTCTAACTCACCAGCTATACAGGGTTGCTGTGAGTCTGAACTGACTCCATGGCACTTAACAATGGACTCCTGGTATGGTGCTATAGGATCAGCACTGGACTGCAAGCCACAAGGTCAGCAGTTCAAACCCACTAACTGCTCCTTGGAAACCCTATACAGGGTCACTATGAGTCAGAATCGACTAGACAGCACATACCAACAACAACAGTCTTCATTTGGGTTTGAGATGCATAGTATTGGGTGGGATCTCTGACTCTTCAGGCAAAAACGCAGACATAAAAATATACCAGATTGGCTACTTCTGAAGTATCTGGCACAGAAACACACAAACCAATCATAGAAGGGCATGATCTCCATCAAAAACTCTCAAAGAACGCTTCGTTCACAATTTAAAATGACAAGCATGGAAGAAAGGGGACAATCCATGCTGAGTAAATGTGAGCAGTCACAATGCGCAGGATTTAACCACTGAGAAATTTCAAGAGGAGAATTTAGACATTCAGGAAGGTAGATAAATCCTGTGGCGAAACGAAAGGAAATGGTGGCTCACTTTCTGAATCGTAACAGCAATTAATGTAAGTATTAACATTAGATTGTTGCTGTTAAGTGCAGTCGAGTCATTTCTGACGCATAGTAACCCTGTCTAAAGTCTCCGTTGTGAGTGGGTTTGAAATGCCAAGTTTGTGGTTCAAAGCCTTGTGCTGATCCTACAGAATTCCACGGGAACCACTCTACAGAACAATGTGACGGCTAGCTGCACAGTGGAAGCAAAAGTAGTATTTTAGTTCCCTCTAGTGGTAGCAGATTCGTAATGCTCTTGCTGAGATTCTGAATTTCTAGGACAAGAAACTCATGAAATACCATGCTCAGAGAATGTAATTTGAAAAAATTTAATTTTATTTCACAGTTGTATTTGACATGTTGTTATTTGAGCAGTATATTAACCCAAGGTTCTTTCTAATAAGTTATATGTGATAAAAGATCAGGTTTGAGAGACTGAGTATGTAAATGGGCAGAACATATATGAATATAGAACTCTGGCCTATAAACACTGTAGTAACCAGTTCTGAGAAGCCAAACCACAGTTTCTGTAGGAATTGGCCCCAAATCGTCTGGACTTTGTCAATGGCTATATCTTCTACACATTGAGCTAGTAGTCACTGCAGGGTTGTAGTGGTCTACTAGCTGCTTCTTGGTAGGAAGATGAGCTTTGCTGTTCCTGTAAAGATTTACAGCCTCGGAAACCCTATCTAGGGTAGCTATGAGTCGGAACTAACTGGATGATACAACAACAACAACATAGCTTCTATGATTTTTAACTTACTTTCAACTCATAGCCAACCAGAGATGGCCAACCATGCACCCAAACCAATCAAATGGTTGCCCTGCTTCAGGCTATCCTGTGCTGACAATTAGGGTATACCCCAAACTTTTCTTTTTAAACTGTAAAACTGCCTGCCTTTGAATCTCTGCCAAACCCAAACAATGGTAACTGACTTTCTTGCTATAACAAACTCAAAGTAGCTTCTGCTTATTCTCATTTGTGTGGTCTATATTTATTTCTTCAGGGTTTCTCACACATAAAAGTGGTTATTTCATAATACACTATGTTACGTACAAACAGGTCACGTATACTTACCAGTTGCCTTTTATAAAAATGGAATGAAATTTTACGTTAGCCCCCTCTTTATAAATTCATCTAGGATTTCACTTTTACTGTTAAAGGGAATGACTTTAAAGCTGGCCCCAAAGAACATTCTTAATGATAGTCAAGTCTAAGCATCATTTAAGTGAAGAAAAATGAAATTCTTAAAATTAAAAAAACAGTACTGAAGAATATATAACTAAAAATAGAAATAAAGGATATTAGATACAAAACTGACTGAGATAAGTATTCAGTCAAGATTTGATTAATTGTGTGGCTCTGTATGATAAGCACTGGCCAGTAGCCCCAAGGTCAGCAGTTCAAACCCACCAGCTGCTCCTCAAAAACCCTATACAGGGTTGCTATGAGTTGACATCAATTCAGCTACACTTTACAACATATTATACTTCAGATGTCCTGTGTCTTGCCATCCTCTTCAATTTAAGCCTGCCTCCTAGAATGGGTTTTAAGTGACTTTCCTCCAGTTTCTCCTCTTCCTCGATTTCTTCTTGGCATTTTACTCCAGGCATCCTATGTAGCTATGCTTCTTCTTGTTCCCTATCTTCCCTTGTGCTCTGGATGTTTTCACCCCTGCTTTTCTCTGACAATTTCAGTTGTTCAGTTGCTTTCAACTCCTCTTTGAAATCTTTAAAAGCCCTAATTAAATCATGTCATCTCACTGTTTAATGCTGCTCAATGAAGTCCCGTTACTCTCAAAAAGAAGAAAAAAGAAAGTAAGAATGGGAAAAGACATGGCAAGGATTTCTTATGCATACAGGGAGCTGTGTGATACGACCTCTGTCTCACGATCCTCCATGCTCTGGGGCTATTTCTTCTTTCTTCATCTCCTACAACCACATTCACCCTTTGAGCAGATCTTGAATGCCCCACACTTTCACCTTTGTGTATTTGAGTGAGCTACATTCTCTGCCTAGACCATCCGTTTTCAGAGCATGGTTGACATTTTTTTATGGACCTTGGCTTCACATCTTCTCTGAGAGGGCTTCTAGACTGCTCTGATTTAGGATAATTGATTTATCCTAGCTTGATTCTGCTATATTTGTAGATATACTTTTTTTCTGTGTTTATTATCTGTCATTTCTACTCTACATTAAGCTCTACAAAGCAGGAATCAAGTCTATCTTATTTTTTTGTGGTTAGGTGTTGTTGAGTCCGTTCCAAATGAAATCCTGCCTGGTCCTGCACCATCCTCACACTTGTTATGTTTCAGCCTATTGTTGACATAGATTTACATCTCAACCATGCTTTGTCCCATCTGCACTCATACATGGTGTTTGCAATGCACGAAGCCATCCTTTCCCACACATTTTTTGAAAGAGATATTTTTATGAAGTAAGATTTTAAATTGGATTTCGAACTTACCACACCACTGGCCCTCACAATGGGAGCTTTCAAATCAGGGAAAACATTCTCTAAATACCATTTGAAGCTTTTGCATTTCAGTTTCCTTCGAAGTTCCCTTTGCTGGGTGAGGTTTCCGACATCTAAACCTTGGTTTATGAGATGATCTCCATGGCCGTAGAAGAGCTCCTTGTATTCATCAAGCCAGACCTCAGCAACCCGCACCAAGTTCCGTTCCACTGTTTTCATCCGGTCTTTAGGAAAGGAATACGGATTGTCATTTCGAAATATGTGGCCCACTCGGGAACAGGGAATAATCTCAATTTCTCCACCACACATCCATACCTAGAACCATTTGATGATAAGAATCTATTATTTGATTGTCCACAAATTATGGGCAGTTAATAATAATAAAACATCTGGCGACGTCCCCCTCCTTGGCCTCCTTGAATTAGTAACCTCAGCTTCTAAAACACTCTTTTACTAGGAAATTTAACTCAGCAGAACTTACTTATTTTCATATTGCTGTGGATTAAGTTAGGAATAGTCAATATTTTTTTTTTCTTTTTTCCCTATAGTGGATTACGAGCTGAGCTGCAAACCGCAACGTCAGCAGTTCGAATCTATCAGCTTCTCCACAGGAGAAAGATGAGGCTTTCTCCTCCGTAAAGATTTACAGCCTTGGAAACCCTGTACAGGGTCACGATGAGTCAGAACCAACTCCATGGCACATAACAATAACTCTGCTGTGAAAACTTTCCTTCCTGATGAAATTAATAAATTCTAATATAGAAAATGTATAAAATGAGCTCCTATGTGATTAAAGCAGGGGAAGGAGAATGGATTTTCATGGGCTCACTTCTTGAAAACACATTTTGTGAAGCTCCATAAAGCGTATGGAACACACCTTGAAAAGCATTCTTTTTATCAGGAGCTCTAAAGTAGCATCCCTTAGGATATTTATCATTCAACCCCATAGGAAACAGTTGCTTTTCAGGTGTTTTTCACAATTGTTTCTGTGGAGGTTTTCTTAGACATGAATCAGTGATGGCCTGAAGAACCAAAGGTGTGTGAAATGTCCAAGTAGGCAACTCTATTGGAAACACCTGGCGTGTTAGTAGTTATTCAGAGGTTCTTCAGTGTTGTCGATTTGGTTCCTACTTATAGCAACCCTGTATAGGGTTTCCGAGGAGCAACTGGTGGGTTTGAAATCCAGTACTGATCCTACACATCCACACCAGGAATGCTGTAGTTGTTCAAGAGGTACTTTATGTACCTCTGTCACTGTATTCCCTAAGATGGACTGACCCTTTACTAAATGACTCCATTATTTCAAAGGAAAGGCTTCAGGAGGGTTATTGTGCATCAAATATGAATCACAAAGCATTTTATTCCAAACGGCAGAAAATTATTGTCTCAATCTGTAGATGGAGTCCTGATGTGACGCCATAGGATAAACACTGGACTGCTAACCAAAAGGTCAGCAATTCAAACCTTGTAGCCACTCCTCAGAAACTACACAGGATTGCTGTGAGTTGGAACTGACTCAATGACACTTAACATCAACAACATCTGTAGATATACACATGGTGTTGTAAAATATAAGGGAACTCTTAAAAGGTTTCTTGACAGATAGATATTAACTCTCCCAAATTCAATCTGGGATATGAAAACATTAATTCACAGACCTGAACATTTCTATGAAATTTCTTTCCCTCACTCTGATTATATTAGTTAAATGAAACCATTTACATATCATATTAATTATATCTAATTAATTGTAGAAAGAGTTGGAGAAACACTTGATAGTACCTTGAATGACAGCTCCATATTCTCTCCACCCCACACATCAAGCCCAGGGTCATATGTTCCAAGTTCAAAAAAGTAATTTTTATCAATAGAAAATAATCCACCTGCCATGACGGGGCACCTACAAAAAGAATTGGGGATTTAAACTTGAATTTTATGGGAATTCAACTTTTAAACGGTGGGTCACTTGTACCACTGTGATAGACTTTGGAGGAATTTCAGAATAGCTACCAAGGAAAGGGAGATCTTGGGATGGAATCCCAAATACCACTAAGTGATGAGTTTCCTGGCATAAATAGACAGAGCTTCATTAGGGTCTGTAAAAACGGGACCTGGAACTACGATTGTTATTTGTCCTCTATAATCTGATACAACCTTCTCTAGAAGTTATTTCTAGCACTTATTTTGTGGAAACAGAGTGCCAGGTACTATTCTAAATATTTCATGTGTATTAAAGCAGACAACACGTTAAAGCACTCACAACAACCTTTTCAGTGAGGACTGTTTTTATGAAGAAATTGCAACACGGAGAAAGTTAAGAAATACATCTGAGGTCTCCAACTTGTATGTTTTTATGTACCTGGTGTTCAGGTGAAAAGGAACCCTGTTAGCACAATGGTTAAGTACTGGGCTGCTAATCATAAAGTTAGCAGTTCAAATCCACCAGTTGCTCTCTGGTAGAAAGATGTGGCAGTCTGCTTCCATAAGGATTTACTGTTGAGTTAGGTCTGACTCATAGCCACCCTGTATAGGGTTTCCAAGGTGGTGGGTTTGAATCACTGACCATGTGGTTTGAAGTCTAGTGCTGATCCTACAGCACCACACCAGGAGTCCAGAATGTAGTCTTGGAAACACTATGGGGCAATTATACTCTGAATCCTGGTGTAGCAATGTGGATTAATGTGCTGAACTGCAGTATCATTTGAACTGTAAGGTCGGCAGTTAAAGCTCACCAGCTGCTCCTGAGGAACTCTATACAGCATGGTTACGGGTCAGAACTGACTTGATGGTGACTTGACAGCACTTAACAACCCCAATAGGGGTTCTGTGAGTTGAAATTGACTTGATAGTGGTGGTTTGAATTTTGACTTGGGGTTCAAATGTAGTTAGCCTACTAGCTTGTCTAATAAATTAATGGTGGTACTGTAGGGTAAGCACTGGACTGCAAACCTCAAGGTCAGCAGTTCAAATCCACCACAAGTTGCTCTGCTATAGAAAGATGAGACTTTCTGTTCCCATAAAGGTTTAGAGCCTCAGAAACCATATACAGGGTCACTATGAGTCAGGACTTACTCAATGGGACCTGGAACTGCGGCAGTGGGTTTGAGTTTTGGGTTTATATATGTGATTTCATTTAATTCATAAAACCTAAGACATAGCCTCTTTTATTAGTCTTAAAGTAAAAATGAAGACATGAGTCTTAGATTAAGTAACATTTTTGAGCTCACAAAGCTAGTAAGATTAATTTGAGATTTAAACCCAGAAATGCTGATTTCATTGCTTTTACTAATTTTATTGATCATGGAGGACAGAAACGACATGTAGTCAGCAGTATAAAAAAAGGCACTGACCACTTTCCATGGTTGTTACAACTGAGTCAGCCCAGGATGGTTTGTGCGAAGAGCCCACTTTGTCTTTGGAGTAGACAAAACTCTCAAGAAGGTAATTCTTGCCCACACCCACCCTCTGTCTCATTAATGCATATAGTCTACCTGTACTCCCCCTGTATCCTTAACAGACTATCCAGCATTATTCTGAATCACATTATGCTGACTATAATCTGATCTCAACCACACCGGTCCTCAAAATGGGAGCCTGAATTAAGAAAAGAGGTTTTCCAGGTGTGGGATTAGAGAGAACGTGTTAGTTTCAGACAAATCTGAGTTTAATTCTAATTTCTCCTTTTAGCTGCTAATTCTTATTAGGAGTCTTGGTGTGGCACTGTGTGTTAATGCGCCAGACTGCAAAGCCATTTGACCTGCAAGGTCAGCAGTTCAAGCTCACCAGTTGCTCCCTGGAAACCCTATACAGGGTTGTGATGGGTGGGAACTGACTCGATGGCACTTAACAACAACAACAACAATTCTTATTAAAGAAATAACTCAACTCTTTTAAGTTCAATTCCCTTGTTGTTGTTATTAAGGGCCATAGAGTCAGTTTCAACTCATAGCAACCCTGTATAGGGTTTCACAAGAGGTGCTGGTGGGTTTGAACTGCCAGTTCTGTGGTTCAAAGTCCAGTGCTGGTCCTGCAGAGCCACAAACATTACAGCCTAGAAAACCCTATGGGGAAGTTCTTCTCTGTCTTATAGGGTTTGTGTGAGTGACTGATAGCATACTACAACAGCAAACTCCTGGTGAACAGGAATATTGTTGTTAAGTGCCACCAAGTCAGTTCTGACCCATAGTGACCTTATGTAGGGTTTCTGAGGATCACCTACTGAGCTTGAATCACCCACCTTACAGTTCAAACCGACCTTGCAGTCTAAGTCTAGCTCATTAACCCACAGCACCACACCAGGACTCCTGGTGAATAGGAATAGAGTTAATGAATGTTTTTGGGTTCAGGACTGAAAAGGATGAAAGTAGTCATTTAAAAGCAAGTTTTGGTAGGGAGGAAATAACTTCTCAGAGAAACTTCGTTTGCTTTTGGTAATCTATTGGGTAGAACTGTAATTCTTGATGTTACAGTGACTGGATGTTACAGTTACAGCCACATGTTGTGGAATTGCTGTCTATGCCTTGAAAAAAAAAAAAAAAGATGACTGCTTGTTAGTCATGAATTTTGTGCACTTACCTTATTATATCAGTTTCTTTAATTCGGTTTTTTGCAATGATATCTGGAGGAATTGTTCTCCAGCCAAAGTTCATGGGCCACACAAAGACACCTCTTTGAAAGTTGTCCACTGTCATGTAACTAATCCAGGGAAACAAACAAACATGCTGCCTGAGATCATATACATGTTTGAATTCTTTATTAACCCACCTCAGTATCTTGTTAAAATAAATAAAACAGGTACTTAGGAAGATGATTTTAGATTATTAGAACTTAAAAAAAAAAAACAACCAATAGAATATTTATGAATGAAATTCACTTGCTTTTAACTTATACTTTTCTTTTAATAATACCCTGACCATTTCTGAAGGAAAACAGTAAAAAACACACAACAGCAACTTAGCTGCACATGCATGTTTCTAACAAAACTAAGAAATAGACTTGAGGAAAATAAATATATTTGAATTTAGTTGAGTATAAAGAGGAAAGAACTAGACAGTGAGGATTTAGATATTTGGGTATTTAGGATTAAGAATTTGTGGTGACAGAATAGGATCTTGGATTGATCTATTCTCACCCCAAGATATCTATCATGGATTTTAATTTACTTAAGTGAATAAACTGTGTTATTTCTTAGATTTTCAAAGGTTTACACATTAGGATGAGGACTACTACACCTTGCTGGTGGTGGGAATAGGCTCTCTTATCAATATCTTGTGAGTATGGCCAAATTACCTCATATCTTTATCATTGATGACTTCAATAACTGGGCAGGCCACTTTCCTTTTACTTAAATAAACTCTTTCAAGGAGAGGTTCCAACCAACCAACGTTACATTCCACATGAGAATCTAAGAATGTCAACACATCACCTAGAGAACACCAACAACAACAAACAAAAAACAAAACAGGAATCATTTACAAATACAGAATACTGAATGTGTGTTATTCACACTCAGAGATATTGGGATTTGGTCCAAAAGTCTGGTTGTAAAGACAATAATATTTTTTTTCTAGATGAATTTTCTTCTACAGAGAAATGGAAGAAAATTCTTTTATCAGTATTCCTGTAAGGCAAACACCGTTTATATCTAGAAAAAACTGATTAGCCACTTAGAATAGGTAGCAAGATTCCAGAAGGAATGTTGTTGTTAAGTGCCACTGAGTCAGTTCCAAACCATAGCAACCATGTATAGGGTTTCCAAGGAGCAGCTGGTGAGCTTGAATTGCTGACTTTGCGGTTTAAACTGATTTTGTAGTCCAGTGCATTAATCCACAGCATCAAATACTTAATATTAAAGGTAATTGTTACAATATTTTCTAAGGAGGATAAATCCCATTGATTCTGGGAGTGGGTGGTTGAGGCTTCAGTGGAAGACTAGGATGAATTTGAGAATACAAGTTTGGCCTTGGGAATGATGAAAAGGAAAAACCGCTTTACATAACAAGGGGGAAGAAATTAAAGTGGAGAAACCAGCAAGATCAGTAGATCTTGCTGTAAAATGTGAATAGAAAAAAATTAGAATGATATAGGACAGAAATACTTATTGAGAAATATTTTTGTTTTTGTTTTCTGATAATTTATGAAGTTAACCTTCTCTCTTTTCTCAGTAAAATCTTCAGTATTATCTACTTTGCTCTGAATGTTTTTAGATAAGTGGATTATGTGTAGCTCTTTCTCTCCATACAAACTATAATAAAGTAAGTTATTCTTTGTTAAGTGCTTACATTGTGCCAGATACTCCTCTAAGCATTCTAGACAGTTATTTTATTTAATCCTTGCAACACACCTATAGGAGCTACCAGGCTGGATTATATTCTCAGCTGGATTATAATATACAAGATTCTGAATTCTCATGCGTTCCCCCACAGAGTTCAGTTGCATCTCAAGACTGTTGGATGGATCCTTAGACAAGGCTGCTATGAAGACAGAACTTTCTCAGGCAACAGTCCTTTACTGATGCTGCTCAAAGTATGGGCCTCAGATCCTGCTGTCTATGGTGAGAGAGGAAAATAAATTGGAAGTAAATGTTTTAAAACTTTAAAGCAATGTGCCAGCATAATTTACTGTCTTTGTACACACACACACACACACACACATGAGGGCCAGTAAAACAGTATTGCTACAAAATCATAGTACCCTTATGTAAATTATGATATATATATATATATTTATCTTGTGCTTTTCAGCTAGTTTCAGAAGCACTACTCCGCTAGGTAAGAAACCCAAACCAAACCAGGTGCTGTCAAGTCAGACTGCTGTTGTTGTTGGGTGCCAATGAGTTGGTTCCAACTCACAACGAATCTATGCATAGCAGAAAGAAAGACTGCTCTGTCTTTCTCCATCTTCACAATTGTGATGTTTGAGCCCATTGTTACTCTCACTGTATCCATCCATCTTGTTCCTCTTTTTCACTGAGTTTCTATTTACAAACCATGATGTCCTCCTTCAGGGACTGATCCTGCCTGACAACATATCCAAATTATAAGAGAAGACATCTCACCATCCTTCCTTCTAAGGGGCATTCTGTATGTACTTCTAATACCGATTTGTTTTTTCTCTTTCTGGCAGTCAGTAATACTTTCAATATTCTCCTACACTAAGACTCACATACATTGGTTCTTCTAACTTGCTCTTTCTTCATTGTCCAACTTTCATATGCCTGTGAAGCGATTAAAAATAGGAGTGCCTTAATTCTCAAATTGACATCTTTTCTCTAGAACACTTTAAGGGGTCTTTTGAAACAGAATTGCCTAATGCAATATGTTGTGTGATTTCTTGCCTGCTGCTTCCATGAATGAGCATTGATTGTTGATCTAAACAAAGTCTTTCACAACTTCTATCTTTTCTTTGTTTAGAATGATTTTATTTATTGGTCCATCTGTGGGGAGTTTTGTTTGTTTATTTATTTATTTAGTTTACATTAAGGTGTCATCCATACAGAAGGATATAGTATTTGATCTTCATTAGTAAGTATTTCAAGTCCACTTGGCTTCCAGCAAGCAAAGTTGTATCATCTGTACCTTTCATGTTGCTAATGAGTCTTCTTCTAATCCTGGTGCCAAGTTCCTCTTCAGATAATTCATCTTCTTGGATTATTTTCTCAACATAGAAATCGAGTAAGGATGGTGAATGTATACAACTCTGGTGCACTACTTTCCTGATTTTAAGCCATTTAGTATCTTCTTGTTCTGTTCTCATAACTGCCTCTTGGTCTAGGTACAGATTCCTTAAGAAAACAATGAATTGTTCTGGAATATTAATTTTGTTTCATGTTATTTATAGCTTGTTATTATCCACACAGTCAAATGATTCTGCTTAGTCAATAAAGATCAAGTAAACATCTTTCTGGTATTCTCTGCTTTCAGCTAAGAACTATCTGACATCAGCAATGACAGCCCTAGTTTTATGTTGTCTTCTGAATCTGGTTGGAATTTCTGGAAGCTCCCTATCCATGTACGGCTGCAATCATTTTTAAATTATCTTCAGAAAAATTTTACTTGCATGTGATAGTAATGATGTTGTTTGCTGATTTTTGCACTCTGTTGGGTTACCTTTCTTTGGAATGAAAACAAATGTTGATCTTTTCCAATCAGTTGCTCAGGTATCTTCCAAACTTCTTGGCATAGATGAGTGAGCATCTCCAATGTTGCACCAATTTGTTGAGATATTTCCATTTGTACTCCATCAATTCCTGGAGTCTTGTTTTTTACAATGACTTCAGTGCCATTTGAACTTTTCCCTTCAATGTCAGTGGTTCTTAATCACATGCTATCTTTTTAAATAGTTGAGAATTGACCAATTCTTTTTGGTAAATCACTCCTGATTCCTTATATTTTCTTTTGATGCTTTTTGCATCATTCAATATTTTCCCTATAGAAACCTATATTACAACCTATATTCCCTATATTACAACCAAAGGATTGAAGTTTTTCTTCAGTTCTTTCAATTTGAGAAATGCTGAGTATGTTTTTCTCTTTTGGTTTTCTAATTCCAGGTCTTGCACATTTCATTATAAGATTTGACTTCATCTTCTTGAGCTACCCTTTGAAATTTTCTGTTCAGTTCTTTACTTACTTATTTCTTTGAGTAACTTTCCATCTTCAATTGCAAGTTTCAGAGTCCCTTCTGACATCTACTCTGGTCTTTTCTTTCTTTCCTATCTCTTAAATGATTTTTATCTTCCTTCATGGATGGTTTTCTTTATGTTATCCTTCAACTTTTCTGGTGTTTGTTCACTGGTGTAGAACACATCAAATTTGTTCTTCATTGTTGTTGTTGTTATTGTTGTGTGCCGTGGAGTCGGTTCTGACTCATAGCGACCCTATACAGGGTTTCCGAGTCTGTAAATCTTTACGGGAGCAGAAAGCCTCTTCTTTGTTCTTCATTGTTGTTGTTGTTATTGTTAAGTGCCGTTGAGTCGGTTTCGACCCATAGCGACCCTGTACAGTGTTTCCGAGGGTGTAAATCTTTACGGGAGTAGAAAGCCTCATCTTTCTCCCACGGAGTGGCTGGTAGTTTTGAACTGCTGACCTTAAGGTTCGCAGCCCGATTCATAACCACTACGCTACCAGAGCTTCATATGGCCTCTAAATTCAGGTGGGATGTATTCAAGATCATATTTTGGCTCTTTTATACTTGTTTCAATTTTCTTCATCTTCAGCCTGAACTTGCATAGAGTTATTCCACAGTCGGCACTTTTTTCTCATTTTGACTAATGTTTTGAGCTTTTCTACTGTCTATTCCCACAGATTCAATTAGTTTGATTCTTGTGTATTATACCTAATGAGGTCTACATGCATAGTCACCTTTGTTGTTGAAAAAGGGAATTTGCAATGAAAAAATGATTAGTTGTGCCAATATCCTGTCATGCTATCTCCATTATCATTTCTATCAC